TCAGCCTTCCGAGTAGCTGGAACTACAGGCGCGCGCTACCACGCCCGGCTAATTTTTGATTTATTGTAGAGATGAGGTCTTGCCTGCCCAGCCTTCCAAGGCGCGGGATTACAGGCTGAGCCACTGAGCCCGGCTTGGGTGTGTGTTTAAATGGACTCTGTGTGTTTGTTTCTGGGACAGGGCGCCAGGGCTTGCATGATGGCAGGGCATATTTGTGGATGCCTGTGTTAATGCTCATAGCACAGCTCAAGTCCTGGGTGTTTGGGGATGTACCGTCTGAGTGCTCGGGATTATAAATGTCAGCCTACTGAGTACAGCAGTTGGGGGGGCTCTCCCACCCTCCAGCATCTGCAGATGGTCAAGGCTGCAGCTCCTGCCCCCCACTGCCCACAGCTGCCCCTGAGCCCAGACCTGCCTGGCCCCCGGCCCTTGGCCTTGGGCCTGAGTGACCCTCGCACCCCCGTCCTGGGGCAGCAGAGCTCGGAGGCTCGCGTGATCCGTGTCAGCATCAACAACGACCACGGGAACCTGTATCGGAGCATCCTGGTGAGAGGGTGGGCCGGGGCTGCCAGGGCAGCTGTGCCCTGGGGGCTGGGCCTTCACCGCCCTCCCTCCCTGCCGTCTCTTCCAGCTCACAAGTCAGGACAAAGCCCCCAGCGTGGTGCTGCGAGCCTTGCAGAAGCACAATGTGCCCCAGCCCTGGGCAGGGGACTACCAGCTCTTCCAAGTCCTCCCTGGGGACAGGGGTGAGCAGGGGCAGCTGTAAGCCAGGCAGTGGGGCAGCTGTGAGGGCAGCAAACTGGCTGGGGTCAAGAAGGGTGTCCAGTGTTACCTGGGCTCACAGGGGCCGTGAGGTGGTTCAAGCGCAGAATAGACGAAGAAGCGAGGCTCAGACAAGCTGCCATCAGATGCCTGTGCCTCAGTTATGGGGGTCGTGAGGGGGTCCTGGCCCAATGTGAGGGAGAGGGCACCAGAGGATGTCTTTCTTGGATTTACGGGACCATGAGATGGTCCGGGGTCAAAGGGAGAAGGGAATGTAGATGGTTGTCTGACCTGAGTTTATAGGACTTCAGCCTGTAGGACCTCAAGTTGAAGGTTGTTCAGGCTCAGCCCAGCAGAGTGGGAGGCCCAAGGGGGTCTAGATTTGTATTTGAGTAAGTGAGCTAGTTCAGGCTCACCATGGGGACCCTGAAGTTACCTGAACTCGGGCTGGGAGAGGACCAAGTGGTATGAACTCAGGGGAGGACAGCAGGAAGTTGTCGTCTGTGCCAGGGAGAGGCAAGAGACTGACTGCATTGATGGCAAAGGGCATAACGGGGTTGACTGGGCAACAGGAAAGAGCACACAAGGACTGGGCACAGGGGCTCATGCTTGCAATCCCAGCACTTTGGGAGGCTGAGTGGGACGATTGCTTGAGGCCAGGAGTTCAAGACAAACCTGGACAACATAGACCCCATCTCTACACAATATTTTGATTGTATTTTTTAAAATTTATATATTTATTTGTTTGTTTACTTTTTGAATTGGAGTCTCACTCTGTCATCCAGGCTGGAGTGCAGTGTCATACTCACGGCCACCCCAAAATTAACCTGCTGGGCTCTGGCAATCTTTCCCCCTCAGCCTTCCAAGTTGTGGAAATACAGGCACGCACTACTACATCTGGCTAATTTTTTGATTTATTGTAGAGACAAGGTCTCACCAAATACCAGGGTTGGTCTCCAACTCGCAAGCTCAGTCAATCCACTCACCTTGGCCTCCCAAAGTGCTGGGATTACAGACTGAGCCATGGAGCCAGGCTTCTACAAAGTATTTTTAAAAAATTAGCCAGCTGGCCAGGCTCAGTAGCTCAGCCTGTAATCCCAGTCCTTTGGGAGGCCAAGGTGAGTGGATTGCCTGAGCCCGCAGATTTGAGACCCGCCTGGGCAACTTGGCGAGACCTCATCTCTACAATAAATCAAAAAAATTAGCCAGGTGTGGTAGTGTGTGCCTGTAGTTCCGGCTACTTTGAAGGCTGAGGCGGAAGGATCACTGGGGCCCAGCAGGTCGAGGCTGCAGTGGCCAGGAGCAGCCACTGTACTCCAGTCTGGGTGACAGAGTGAGACTCCACCTCAAAAAAAAAATAAATAAAATAAGCCAGCTACAGTGGTGTGTCTGTGGTCCCAGCTACTTAGGAAGCTGAGGTGGGAGGATTGCTTGAGCCCAGGAGTTCAAGGCTACAATGAGCTATGATCGTGCCACTGTACTCCAGCTGGGCAATAGAGGAAGATGCTGTTCTTGTTTTTTTGTTTTTTGTTTTGAAGTCTGAGTCTCTGCCACCCCGGCTGGAGTGCAGTGGCACTCTCATAGCCACTGCAGCCTCGATCTGCTGGGCTCAGGCGATCCTTTTGCCTCAGCCTTCAAAGTAGCTGGAACTACACGTGTATGCCACCATGCCTGGCTAATTTTTTTATTTATTGTAGACACGAGGTCTCACCAAGTGACCCAGGCTGGTCCTGAACCTGTGGGCTCAGGCAATCCTCTTGCCTCTGCCTCCCAAAGTGCTGGGATTACAGATGTGAGCCACTGCACCTGGCTGTGAAGAACTTATTCTTTAAAATAATAATAATAATAATAATAATAGGTGAGGTTGTTCAGGTGTAAGTGCCACAGACTTATGTCAGCAGGAAGTGGGAAGATGTCCAAGTTCATGGTGAGAGCCGTGTGAACTCAGCTGGGCAGTGGGTGTGGGGGAGGGGCAGGCAGAAAGTTGTTTGGGTGGGTGGCCTGAGTTTGCCCAGATGTGTAGTGTGGGTTGTCTAGATGCCATGGGAGGAGAGGGAATGGTAAGAGGTTGCCCAGACTTATGCGGAAGAGTGAGGTTGTACAAGCTTCAAGTGGGAAGTGGCCCAGGTTTCCAGTGGGAGGAGAGTGAGGTTGGCTAGGCGCCAGCAGGACAGGAACTCGAGGGCGTTCAGTCCCTGGGGAGCACGGTGGAAGGTTGCACAGGTCATCTGTGGGGGAGACACAGGCTCGGGTGGGTCCATCACCGTCATCTCCACCCCTGACCAGAGCTCCTGATTCCTGACAACGCCAACGTCTTCTACGCAATGAGTCCGGCCGCCCCTGGAGACTTCATGCTACGGCGGAAGGCGGGGGGC